CGTCTCTTCTGCCACCGCAGTTTGACCTCAGTTCAGATCTACTAACGTGTACAATCTCTGTAATTGTCAATTCGTGCGTGAACCCAGCAGTATTCATGTAGAATGATTGGCCCTTTTTAGGGCCCCCCACAGTACCACAATTGGCATTTCCTGCGATTGCACATAGAGTTCACATAGCCAAAGTGCACATTTCATTTAAAACACAATTTACATTTTTTTTAAACGCACACGCGTACGCACGCGCGCGCACGCACGCGCGCGCGCGCACGCACACACAATTTACATTTCATTTAAAACACACAATTTACATTTTATTTAAAAAAAAAACATTGTGACAACAAAAACACACACAATTTACATTTCATTTGAAAAAAAAAAGGAAATTCACAATGGATCACGTCGGTATTGAACACGGCATCTTCACACGCGCACACACGCACACTATTTACATTTCATTTAAAACACAATTTACATTTTATTTTAAAAAAAAAAAACATTGTGACAACAAAAACACACACAATTTACATTTCATTTGAAAAAAAAAGGAAATTCACAATGGATCACGTCGGTATTGAACACGGCATCTTCACACGCGCACACGCACGCACACACACACTATTTACATTTCATTTAAAACACACAATTTACATTTTATTTAAAAAAAAAAAAAACATTGTGACAACAAAAACACACACAATTTACATTTCATTTGAAAAAAAGAAAAAGGAAATTCACAATGGATCGCGTCGGTATTGAACACAGCATCTTTCATTTACAAGGCAGATGTGATACCAACTACGCTATGCACTCACATGTTGACATGTTATGAAAACATGACTAATATTGCAGACCGGCCAATTGCGCATCATCAAGCAGCCAAATGCGCATCAACACACCGAAATATGTCGCACCATAAGACACTAGATGAACACTCAAAAACAGCAGCAGACAGCAGCACACTTGCACCCCTTGAAATAATGGACTGTCAAGTCAGCTGTGGAATTCCCACGGGAATTTCGTGTTTGGGGGAGGCAAAAAATATTGTACCGATTTTTCTTGTTTTCTTTCACTGGTAAGATGGCATTAGCGGTTTCTATACTAGTTTTGAAACATTCCCATTTTGTATTAATTTTGTCCTCTGGATTCTCCCGTCGATATTGTTCCATGCATTCAACTATTAATCTGTCTTATTTATTTTTAACCTCCACTAGGTACTGCTGGCTTATTTCTGGCTGTTTCAAAGCTGATTTGTCAATGTGGGGTGACCTTTGCGTTTTTATTTCTGCTTTTTTAAGTTTAATTTGCATTTTTATCACCACAGGGTTGTGATCTGAATTTATATCCGCACCTGGGTATGTTTTGGCGTTCTTTATGTTGTTTTTGAATCTGTCTCTAATCATTACATAGTCAATTTGGTTTCTATTTATATCTCCTGGACTCTTCCACGTAAACAGTTTTCTAGGTGGATGTTGAAAAAATGCATTACAGATAATGAGTTGGTTCTCTTCTCAAAACTGTATCAATCTGTCATTCCTTGATCCCATGCCGAATTTCCCTACAATATGTGCTTATTTTTTTCCCACTTTTGCATTCAGGTCTCCCATAACTATTAAGACCTCTGATGATTTTACAACTTTCAGTGTTTGTTGTAGTTCTTCATAATATTCTTCAAGCTGTTCATCACTGTAGTCAGTTGTTGGTGCATATGTCTGTATTATTGCAATATCAAAAGGTCTTGCCTTGATCTTGATCAATATAATTCTGTCATTGTGAGCCTAGAACCCGCTAATAAACTTCTCTAAATTTCTTTTTATCAAGAATCCTACTCCACGTTCATGATGTTCTCCTCCAGAATTAATAAATATGTAATCATCTCTCTTTAGGCAGCTAGCTTCTGTCCATCTTGTTTCTGATACTCCCAAAATATCTAAATTCATATTCTTTGTCTCAGAAATTAAACAGTCAAATTTTCCAACTAGATATAACGTTCTAACATTCCATGTGCCAATGCGAAGACATCTCTTTCTACTTTTCAGATATGTGTTGTCAGAATGTGCCCTTTCAGAAGAATTTAAGGCGCACTCGTCATTATGCTCTACCCTAGTCAACAGAGGATTTGTCTCTTCCCTGTTTGGCCAAGATGTACCTGCATTGCTTTTTCTAACTTGTTGTGCTTCCATTACTGTCTTTGGGTGCTACGTGGTAAGGTCCCAATCTTTTCCACGATGGCCAGCCATGTTTTCCTTCGTGTCCCTACACGCCTCATGTGTGCCACACACTTTGCTGTTTCGCTTTGCAAGCCGTTGATCTACATAATTAGATTCTTCCACCTTGCTTACCGTCCCAGTCTTTGTGTACTAGGGATGGACATCTCCCTTAGTAGGATATTACTCCCACTTCCTTTATGTAGTTTAGCCAGTCAGCCAAGACTGTTGCCCGTGGTGTGGCCACCGCCGTACACAAGCGGTATTCGTGGAGCCATACATGAGCTAGGTAAAGAGATGAGAACCAAATAGGATCCTGGACTATCCATACAGATGCTTGTAACAAAAATGGTTCTTAAATTCTAGAAAGTTTAAAATAGCTGGACGTTATTCAACACTACATGGATGAACAGATTTCTGCTCTCCTGAAGAAGTGCAAAAAAAAAAAAAAAAAAACAGCTACAAATATTTTCATTTTTTTTTCGATAATTAACCACACACCATATTTTAAAAATAAATATTCTTCTCCTTTTTCTTGTTTTTAAAGCAATAATAATACATTTGTGAAGTTGTGGTTTTGGTCACAGCCATAAAGGCAAGTTAATGCCTTTTTTTGTTGTGTATGAGGGAATACTCCATAATGTCTATGCTGTGTATGAGACAATACTCCATAATGCCTTTATGCTGTGTATGAGAGAATACTCCATAATGTCTTTATGCTGTGTATGAGAGAATACTCCATAATGCCTTTATGCTGTGTATGAGAGAATACTCCATAATGTCTTTATGCTGTGTATGAGAGAATACTCCATAATGCCTTTATGCTGTGTATGAGACAATACTCCATAATGTCTTTATGCTGTGTATGAGAGAATACTCCATAATGTCTTTATGCTGTGTATGAGAGAATACTCCATAATGCCCTTATGCTGTGTATGAGACAATACTCCATAATGCCTTTATGCTGTGTATGAAAGAATACTCCATAATGCCTTTATGCTGTGTATGAGAGAATACTCCATAATGCCTTTATGCTGTGTGTGAGACAATACTCCATAATGTCTTTATGCTGTGTATGAGACAATACTCCATAATGCCTTTATGCTGTGTATGAGACAATACTCCATGTCTTTATGTTGTGTATGAGAGAATACTCAATGTCTTTATGCTGTGTATGAGAGAATAGTCCATAATGCCTTTATGCTGTGTATTAGAGAATACTCCATAATGTCTTTATGCTGTGTATTAGAGAATACTCCATAATGCCTTTATGCTGTGTATGAGAGAATACTCCATAATGCCTTTATGCTGTGTATTAGAGAATACTCCATAATGTCTTTATGCTGTGTATTAGAGAATACTCCATAATGCCTTTATGCTGTGTATGAGAGAATTCTCCATAATGTCTTTATGCTGTGTATGAGACAATACTCAATGTCTTTATGCTGTGCATTAGAGAATACTCCATAATGCCTTTATGCTGTGTATTAGAGAATACTCCATAATGCCTTTATGCTGTGTATGAGACAATACTCAATGTCTTTATGCTGTGTATTAGAGAATACTCCATAATGCCTTTATGCTGTGTATGAGAGAATACTCCATAATGCCTTTATGCTGTGTATGAGAGAATACTCCATAATGCCTTTATGCTGTGTATGAGAGAATACTCCATAATGCCTTTATGCTGTGTATGAAGGAAAAACTCCATTAGGTGACTGTGCTGTGCATGAAGGATACCCTGTACAGACTGCAACTTACGCACCAGCAGGCTTTGTGCTGGTTTGTTGGAATATTATGCAAGACTCAAGCCATTAATCCTTCTCATGTGTCATGGATAAGGGCCAGCGGTGTATTACGAGTGCCCAGAAGCAGAAAAAGCCCACCTCCGAAACATGCACAACAATGTCCATCAAAAGACACATTAGGCAAATGAGTCCTTAACTCTTTAAGGACGAAACGCCAGTTTACTGGACTTCCAAGTCCATTACTCATGGACGAAAAACCAGTTAAAGGGCTTGTGATAGAGACACTCTAATTTTGTTCTGTTTGTGGGGAAAACGAACTTTTATGAACCAGTTTTTGAACAATTAGGATTCAGCACAGGAAGTCCTTTCGAGTGCGAAGATCAGCGTGGTGTGTTTACAACTTTCTGATTTGTTTTAGATTTATTCTGTGCGATATAATTTTTTTGGGTAAGTTTTCTGAAATGGCAACTTCCAACCCTTCGACATCCACTGCAGATAGAGCTCAAAGAATGACAAAAACGCAGGCTTTAGATCTTATGCAGCGGTTGTTAGATGAAGAAGATAATTTTAGTAGTGATGATAATTTAGATTCGGAATTATCTGACAATGATGTAGATAGTGACGATCAAGAATATCAGCCATCTGCTGCAAAACACGCCAGACTAAATGGTATGGGTAAGGGAAAGCAGAACAATAACAAAGCCTACAGAACTGCCCATACTGCTGCTGTCGTTGATGAATCTGAACCAGATAGTGACAACAATAGTGTCGACATTATAAATAATAATAATACACGTGCAGTATCTGTTGCAGACGTTATGGCTTGGGATGAAGCTGAAGAAAATGTTTTGATCGGATCGTCCCTGTTTCGATCAGCTGGGTCTGGAATTCAGGCACTACTGGATGAAAATTCAACACCACTGGATTGCTTATTGACACTGCTGACATCATTGACAGTCTTGTTGAGAACATAAATCTTTATCGAGTGGAAAAAATAAAGAAAAATATACCACTGAGAAAAAGATCTACATTGTCTGAGTGGCAGCCAATGATTAGAGGAAATTTTTTTCAGTTTCTCAGTGTAGTGATAGCGATGGGAATTACACCGAAACATGACATCAAAGATTACTGGTCTACAGCGAACCACAAATTCACACCATGGTTCAAGGTAATGTTTCCAAGAACTAAGTTCTTGCTTGTTTACCAGTCAATGCTGCATGCATCAGAACCCAATGCAGAAGGCCAAGCAAAGATTGAGCCATTTGTGAAAAATCTAGTAACAAAGTTTCAGTCAGCATTTTACCCATATGAAAATCTTTCTGTTGATGAGATGGTGATTGGTTTCAAAGGCAGGTTTCATGCTAAACAGTACCATGCAGCCAAGCCTCACAAGTATCATATAAAGACATTTGGTCTTTGTGATTCAATCACAGGCTATGTTTATAATCTGTTAATTTACTTGGGAGCAAAAACTGCCTACAATCCTGAGCTTGATCCAACATCAACTCACGCTTTAAAGGTATTTTCAACCCTACTGCAGGGTGTTGAAAGTTACCATCATCTATTTGCAGATAGATTTTATACATCACTCCCTCTCATTCAATTTCTTTTATCCAGGAAATTGAATTATACTGGCACGGTGAATAAAAACCGCAAAGGATTGCCGCAGCAGCTAAAACAACAACCAACCATCTTTGGAACTCCGAGATGGTTAGTTAATAATGAGCAGAATATCCTTTGCGTTTCCTGGAGGGATAAAAAAATCAAAAAAACCTTGCATCCTACTGACCACAAATGGAAGTTCTACATCTGAGGAGCGCCAGGAAGGGAGTCGAAAGGTTCAGAAACCTAGCCCCATTCACTCATACAATATGAGTATGAATGGCTGTGATCGTTTGGATCAAATGGTCTCGTACTATAGTAACCACAATCGCAAAACTAAGAAGTGGTGGAAAAAGGTTTTTACGTGGATCGTGGAAGTGATGCAGGTCAATGCTCACATATTGTACATGTCATCCCATCAGGCTGCCCCCAAGCGAATGAGTCTCGCACATTTAAAGGAGAGCTCATCCAGCAACTAACTGCGCTCTCAGGTCATGAAGTTCCAACAGACATGATCATTGCTGTGGCTCGCAGACCAGGCAAAAGGCCAGCCTTGTCTGACACTTTTGTTGGGGCAGACCATTTAGTTAACTATGCTGGTGCAGACAGGCAATGTGTACAGTGCAGCAAGAAAAAGATTCAAAAACGCAGCAGGTTTTACTGTGTTGGATGTGCTGACAAGCCTCATCTGTGCCCCAATGCATGTTTTAGGGCATATCACACCCAGTAAGGTGGTTGTATTCAAGATCAGTATCATAATCATTGTCAGAAAAATAGAGTCTTAAGTCGTCACTGGAATTGTCCTTATATATTATGTAAATATTTTTTCCCCTTTTGTTTTAAAATGTGATCCGTCAGACAAAAATAATGATAAAATTTAAAGTATTTGGAATAATTGTTTCAAAGAAAGACTAGCTGATGCATAATTGAATAGAGAAAGCATGTGAATTCTTAGAGATGGATAGCTATGCTGCTGAACAAGTAAAAGAATAAGGTAAGAACAACATTGCATGTCTAAAATATTTTTTTTGTCTAACATCCTCTAATGTGGTGTCACTGTTGTATGTTATTGTTGCGATACTAACCCTTAGATAGTTTACATGCATTCTGCATTCACTTCTCTTCAATTTGATGTATTACATAGTACTATACAGCCAGTACTTTTTCAACACGATGGTTTTAGCTTTGTCATATTGCTGTTACAAAATTCAGTAATTCCGTTTTCCTTTTCATTCGCTTATTCTAAAATTTGACACGTCACATAAGAATTGTCATAAAATGCCAAGTATTCAGGACAATTGTCTCAAATAAAAGTTAGCTGATACATAATTGAATAGAGAAGGTACGTGAATTCGTAAGAATGAGGAGAAGTGTTTTTGATCCAAAAAAAAGTGAGGTAAACACAATATTTCTTACCAAAAAAATATTTCTGTGAGTCTAACATCATCGAATATAGTGTTATTTTAATATAATATTGTTGCAATACTGATCCTTAGATAGTTTACATGCATTCTGCATTCATTTCTCTTTAATTTGATGTATTACATGGTACTATACATCCAGTACTTTTTCAACAATACCGTTTTAGCTTTGTCATGTTGCTGTAAAAAAATTCTGCTCAAAATTAATGCTGTCCAAACCCCAGAAAACATGCCGTCCAAAATAAAGAGTTAAGTTCACTGGCCAAGATTATTACTAAAGGAATAATGTCAAGCAGACAGACCTGGTTATTCAATGCTAATTTAGCTGGGAGTGTGCAAGGGGTCTGGATGATATTAAATACCCAGGACTCACTTGTCATCAAGTTGGTTGTACTATCTACTATCTCAGTATGGAAACTTTTAATTAGCTAATGAGGAACAGAGAACCTGTGAGAATGTTAAATGTCCTAAGTGCAGTGACGTCAATGATTGATTGATTGATTAATTCATAGACATGGATAAAGCATAACTTGGTGGCACTGTGTGTTTCTCTTTTCTCTTTGTTGCACTTTCTAGATATGTACTTGTTGTGTTCATTTGGTTTTCAAGATTATGGATAAAACTAATATACTATATACGGAGACAAAAAATGGTAAGGAGAGGTACACCCCAGTAAGGCCTCACTTAGATACTAGTGTCTGTCAAACTGCCGTCATGATTGAAGAAAGTGTGAGAAGATAGTATAAACGGAGAATCAAAAATGTTTTCTGAAATTTCTGCAGCTTCCTTCATTTTATTTGCTCTTGAGTCCTGAGTCCCAGCCTTCTGTGGCGTGGGAGATACTCTGGGCGGTGGTGGTAGTCGCCAGAAGTTCGCAACTGACATGTGACTGAGGTCCTCTTTGGGTATATTTTCAGCCTCGATAATTTGGAACCGTTTTTCGGAGGATAGTCGACATTCATATTCGACCCCCCCCCCCCCCCCCCCCCCCCCCCCCCAAAAAAAATTAAATAGGGTAGAAGTTGGGAGGAGAGCCGGGATGTTTTTTGCTGTGAATCCTTTGGGACCGGTTTTTCGAAAGAGTAAAAAAAAACGATACAGAATTTGCAGGACAATAGTACGAGAGCCGCACCGTGGAAGAAACAGGGACATTATAACGTTTGTTTACACCCCAAAAAAATGTCACGTGGTCGTTTTTTATTATGTGAATCCGCAGTACATTAATAACCATAACGTCGTAACTAACTACTTAATTATTCATTATATATTTTATCTCGGCTCGTTTGCTTTTTATCGCTTATAAATTATTACTTATTAATTACTAAACTGAACTCATGCGACGACTTTAAACTATTTCTATAAATTACAAACAAGCTGTCGTTTACAGTTGAGTTGTGAGAAGGAAGAGACTGAGTCGAATTTATATACGAACCGAGAAGTTGACTTTAAAATATAAAAATGACAGCACTCAGGTTCAGTGTGATGAGTCAATTATCTACCTTATAAATTACAGTAAACATACTTACGATTTGTAAAAGAAACCTAGAAATGGAAATGAAATGTGGATTAGCCAACAGTGAATAAAATAGAGCGGAACTCTTCTGTGCAGTGTTGCCACAGGGTTGCCAGATACAAAAATTAATTTTATGCTAAAACCATTATCCGAAATATGCCAGAAAATGCTAAAGTATAACATTGTACTCACTTCACATCAAAAGCTCTAGATTGAATTCTTCACTGTCATCTTCACTGGAAGATACAGGATAAACCTTTTCGAAAATAAAATCTTTAAGCATTTCCTCAGATATGAAGTCTGTGCAATTCATCTATAATGATGGCTGTAGTCTTCTTCTTCTTCGCGTTCACCAGCTGTAAACTCTGGCGGAAGGTTCTGGTTGCTCGTCTACTACTGAACTGCAGTCCTGCTCCAGAACCTGAGTGTTGCGTGTGCATCAGTTTTACAGATCTCATTCTCTTGAATACAGACTGTTGGTTCCTTGCCTCTCCGGCAGACGCACTCCGTCTTCAAAGGAAGCTCCCCAATTAGTTGACTCTTACAACATGCTTTTGGGGAGGCAGTGGGTCTATTCTTGTTTTCCCCACAATGGGGCCCCGGAACCCACACAGGGGTGGCTGTAGTGAACCATTTTCTCCTCGATAAATTATGTCCCAGACGGAATGACGTCAGCTAATAAACATGAATGGGATATTTGAGTGTAACAAGGGCAGCAACGTGAGTCACGGACAAAATGCTGGCCAAATGAAACCCATGTGAATCACGGAAAAAAATATTGGCCAAATGAAACCCATGTGAATCGGAAAACACGAAAAAGTCGTAATTGTAATGTGGGCGTTAGAAGGTTATATAATGCCTTAGAAAGAGCATATGGGCAGACTCGTTTGGGCCAGGAAACGGAATGCATGAAGAACGGAGGAGTGTTTGTGGATCCAGAATGTATCTGAGTATAAATGTCAGTTCAAACGCCCTACCTGGCCAAACAGTAAAGGATTGACGAAAAACTTCGTCTGCCGGGTGATTTCGTGTTTGTCGCCAAGACGGAGGAAGTTTGCGTGGTTTCATTGCAATGGCATATTTCTTGTTCCGAAAATCACCAATAAGATCATGCAGGCGATATAATTATTTTTTAATTTAGGCATGAACATTTAGTTATATACAACTGTATGTGCCCCAATATACTTCACCGACCATGCGCTCTTATGATTTCACTTAAATGATCAATTGTGCTTGTTGCACAATGGCAGGTTATACCTACAGCAAGTCGCAACTCTGCTTCCTTTAAGTTTATCATTACTTTGCCTCAAGGTCACTGTTGTAATAAGCTGTGACTGGCTTTTTGACAGTTTTCTTCCTTTGTTTTTCTGATTTTTCATGATTTGATATGCTACTAATTCTTAGTGCAACCGTAAACTGACACAGTTTACAATATGCTGCCTCTGATCCGTCTGAAGATCTTATAAACCACGAGTATGTTTTCCTCCAGTTACTATTGTACTTGCAATGCAATAAGTTGCTTTCCATTTGGGGGACGGGGTCGGCGACGTAGCCATTGGAAAAAATAATAAAATCGATCACAGATAGAACTAGATCTATATCCTCTCTATTTTCTGTCCTCAAGTAGTTTCTGAACAGTCTGAATCCCTTGGTACCAGTGGTGGGTTTTGGTTTTATATCCCGCATTTATTCTAGTAGATTAACATAAATTACAGAGGGACTTGGTTTATCGAAGTCACGATCCGTTTAGGAAGACAACAAATACAATAAGAAATGGCGCGAATCTCCGTTAGTCCGTACCAGGACATCACAACAAAGTTAAACATAAATAAAGATGTTAACATTGCCTTTAGTAAAGCTGCGTGTTTCTAACGGAGGAACCATGACGCAAATGTGAGCACATCTTGATAAGAAAAGCCACGAAAACCCTTAATATGCTAAAATATGCCAGTTGATTATCTTATGCCAGTTCATTTTCAAATATGCTAAATTTGTGGAACTGACATCAAAAATGCTAATATGGCAACCCTGTGTTGCCACTTTTCTTTGACAGGAAACATCTAGAAATCATTCCAAAAATATCTAGAAATATCTAGATTTTATCCAAATGGAAAGAGTCACAAATTTCATAGCTACTGATACAGTGTTGCCACTTTGGATCTTTTATATAAAAATTTAGATCTTTTTCATTGCATTTAGATACTGTTTTTGACGTTTAGATCCTAAATATTTTTCTAGACGCTTTTCATATGGAGTTAGATATTTTATAGATTTTTTTTTCTTTCATTGTCAATTTAATAATTACTGTGTAAAATATTTACTACAATATTTTTGTTTTGGTCTGGCACGTACATTATGACAACTGCCATTACTTGAACTTTGAACTCTCACTGGGGTCAACGCACAAATATCTGGCAGCCCAGGTAAAAAACGCGCGTAATCATACTAACTTTGTTTCAACCGTATCCTCACTGTGCTGACTTTGCGTTTCTTTTTCATGTGTTTAAAAAAATAATTGCTCACCTTCTTATGTGGCTTTCACTTT